CCCTGAGTCCCCCCAGGGAAAAGGGCGGCATACAAATAAAGCATCTCAATCTCTCTCAATCTTTTTAATAAATGTGACACTATTGGTTATATGCCACCCAGAATCACATTTTGTGAGATGAGCAGCCATATAAATATGTTTAATAAATTTTAAAAAAAGATTATTTTCATTAACCTCTAGCTGAAATTTACTTTTTCATTCTGTTACAAGCAACAGGAGAATGTATAGCTTCAAGTCTCCAAAAGTGTTTCTTCAGTAAATTTCATTATCTAAATTTATTACAATGATTTATAGTTTGATAACTACGTTTGAGCAGTTTCCTATATCCATGAATTTTATTTCATCCATTTTTCTGCTAAAGTTTCAATAGACCCTCAAAGGTTCCATAACACAAAGACTGTAAGAAACTCTGTTCTAAGCATATAAATGCAATCATAAATGAAATCATCTTTTCATTTCATTCCAGGGTTCACGAGGCCCAGTAGGTCCTCCAGGCCGTGCTGGAAAACGAGGTTTGCCCGTATGTTCTCTACATTTTCTTTTAATGGAAATGTTAATGGCTTGAAAAATAGTTGTACTCTTGGTTAAAAATAAATTCAACAACACAAGTTTCATATATCTGTATTTTAGAGCTCAATGTAACTGAAGCTTATGAAAAAGAAAGTAATAATTAAAATATATTAATTGCTCATATTAGATTTACCTGTACTGTATCTAGTTCCAGGGAGAAGATAAATATTCTTAAATATTTTTACATCTGACATTTAAAATTTTCTGTATGTATTTATGTACACCATAAATGGATGCAGGAGATTAAAACCAATAGGAAGAATCCACAATTATAAGTGGAGTTTGTCTAGAGTCTAAATAGATACCTTTTCAGTACATATCAATTTGACTTTTGAATAGTTTTGCACTAGTCAATATATGTACAACACACACAGAGATATGTGAATGATATGGAATATAGTTTTAAAAAAGTAAACTGGTGGTACTGAAATCTATCAGAAATGGAGCGCATTGCTAATGCCTGATTTGAAAAGCATAGAAATATGTTTATTCTAGGGTTGGTTTTAGATGGATTGTACTTTTGTGTTTTATTTTTGCTTTATTTTGTTTTATTTTTCTAATTTAAGGGTCCCCAAGGTCCTCGCGGCGACAAAGGTGACAATGGTGATCGAGGGGACAGGGGACAGAAAGGTCATCGAGGTTTCACTGGCCTGCAAGGTCTCCCTGGACCTCCTGTAAGACATTATCTATATGTTTTTTTTTTATTCCAGTTCTCCATTGGCAACTGCCATTTTTGTACATATATCATATTGCACTTGGAACTACCTTCTGCCCAGTGGTGGGTTCCGGATTACGTTTCAACCGGTATGGTTGGAACAGCCCCGGAGTTACCCACATGCATGCGTGCATGTATGCATTGTAGCATCAAATGACGCTTCCGCAAGCCTTCGCGATGCTCCAATTTCTCGGTGGAGCATTGCGCAGGTGCTGTACTTAAAGCACAGGTAAGGAGCCTGGGCGGGCAGGTGGACCCCCCGGAGCACTGTACCAGAATGGTACCCGGTGCTCCAGGCAGGATCTGGTAGGCCCGTACCGGGGCGTACCGCCTGCAACCCACCACTGCTTCTGCCTCTACTTCCTTATTTATTGTGGTGGAACACTCCTTTCTTGGTGATGCACTCAGTCACCTTTTAGAATGTCACATCATAAAGGCCCCAATGGCTGCCTTGTAAAAAAAGTGTAGCAATACACTTAGACTTAAAAGTGTAGCAATACATTTAGACTTATATACCACTTCACACTGCTTTACAGCCCTTTCTAAGCAGTTTACAGAATCAGCATATTTCCCCCCAATAATCTGGGTTATTTTACCTCAGAAGGATGGAAGGCTGAGTCAACCTTGAGCCGTTCAGGATCGAACTGCCAAACTGCTGGCAGTCAGCAGAATTAGCCTGCAATAGTGCATTCTGACCACTGCACCACCATGGCTCATAAAAAGTATTAACCTTGACTAATTGCCTATCTCCATGCTCAAAATGGTGTATTTATCTGGAAATGAAAAGGAAAAAAATAACTATTCCTTTTAACTAGCTATTTATTGTAAATCCTTTAGAAGATTTTCTGTAGGTTTTTGCCCTAGGAAAACTGCTGAGCGACTGTTTGTCAGCCAGAACAAATGCATGCAAGGTGCAGTACATTATATAACCCAATGGAAATGATTGCTTGATTATTTTAATTTTGCTTTTATTGTGCTCCTGTCTGTATTAAAATCTGGAGTGTCTTCAAAATCATTTTGCTGTTGTCAAGAAATTCTTTGGAAAATATTGCTGGTAGGGAGAATGAGGACTTATAGGAAAGAGTCTTATTGCATTACCTTCCCTCTCCCTCTAATTTAGGGCTCTGATTTTCCAAGGTGGTTAATAATCCTGGGTACTAAAACTCAAAACTATATTTTCTTGCAGTGGTTGGAGGCCAAGCATGGCTGTCTTTCCTCCAATGTCTATGGATTTAGAATTTTTTGCAACTTTTTTTTTGTTTTGCTATCTTCAGGTTATTATGTCATTAATTAGAAATGCTGAAATTTGAAACTAAAGAATAATAGGTCATCACTGGATACTCAAGGTTGATGTATTCAAAACCATCATATTTTCTTCTTTAAAGATAAGATGTAATTTGAGAAAATGTAGATCATCCACACGATGTTTTGCAGGGACCTACTGGTGAACAAGGCAGTGCTGGGATTCCAGGCCCATTTGGCCCAAGAGTGAGTAAACCAGATGTGAAGTATAATATGGAAACAATTAAACCCCCCTCCCCCCCTGGTTTAAGTTTGCTGTTTCTACAGATGGTGTTTGTTGATTTCAGAGTAAAATTAATTTGGATAGGGATTACATTTTGTTTTATTAAACAAGGTTGTGCTTGAGGTCATTTATCCTTTGTGTATAGAATTCTAAATATAATCTAGTATTTGGCAAAGATGATAACTTGACAAAGATTTAGCTTTCAGTCCAAAAAAGGTTCTATCCCTCAAGATTTTTAAGCTTCAAGAACAATCTCCAATTTGCTGGTATCATGGCAATGCTGGTGCACATTAATGTGCACTTTTCCAATGGCCTTTTGTTATCTTTTCCTACACACAGATCTCAGTGTTCTGCATTCTTTACTCATATTATGTCCTTTCTCAACTCCTTATATATTTCCAGTTTTGCACCGAACTCAAGCAAATTTTAAAGAGCCAACTTACAATATAAACAACTAAAAGCTTAATATTGCTCTGGCTTTAATTTTATTGCTTACATTGGCTGACTGGGATCTTTGGAAATTTGAAAGTTATGGATTTTATCAATGTCATAATTGATAGACTATATTGTTTTAGAAGAACAAAAAGAGAATAAAGATTTCAAATATATGGGGGGAATTTTTCTGTTTGTGCCAAAAGACATCAAATTTGATATCAGGTAAGACTTCTTCAACCAACAGCTCCAGTTTAGAGTCAGCAACCAGAACAGGTTTTCTGAAGATAACGTAATGGAGAAAGGTAGTGGGGGGAAATCAGTTTTTAAGTTTCTTGGATTCAAGGGTTGAGGTACAAATTTAAGATGGATTAAGATGTGGAAGGATACTCAATGAAGACTGTGAACTTTTGATATCAGCAGTTTTCCTGAAAAGGGGGAGAGAAAAAGTGCAAAAATTAATGTGTGCCCAGGGGTGAATTTGTGCGCATGTTGTGTGCATATGTGAAGAAAGCTTCAGTATGTTACCACTGAAGCTTATCAAAATAAATGATTAAATTGAGGAAAGTAAAAGAAAAAACAGCAAGCCCCTCCTAGATTTCTACTGGTTTGTTACTGGAAATTCCAGAAAACAGATTCTGCCACATCAAAATAACATTAAAATTGGAAATGGGTTTGGTGGCATGTAGCTTTCCCAGTTTCAAATCCCTCCCCCAAGTAAGCTAAGCACAGCAATTTAGTGTAGTTAGTTAGTGGCAGCAGCTGCTAAAAAGGGCTGTTTGAGCATATTCCAACTCACCCATCTGCATCTTTTACCCTAATAGCAATAACAATAGCAGTTAGCAATAGCAGTTAGACTTATATACCACTTCATAGGGCTTTCAGACCTCTCTAAGCGGTTTACAGAGTCAGCATATCGCCCCCACAGTCTGGGTCCTCATTTCACCCACCTCGGAAGGATGG